GTGTTTATAGGGGCTGTAGTGGATGTGCGTATAGATGATGTAGTGTGTGTAGGGCTGTAGAATGTGTGTTTGCGTACAGGGGATCTAGTGTGTGCATTGGTGATACAGAGTGTGTATGTCAGCAATGGAGAGAGAGAGAGAGAGAGAGAGAGTGTGTGTGTGTGTGTACTCAGTACGTTTCTACAATGGATCTATTGTGTGTGTGTAGCGGATCTAATGTGTGTGTGTAAGGTGCAGTGTGTGTTTGGTTTGCATTGTGTGGATGTTTTGGAAGGTATTGTGTGCATGTTGGGTGCAAAAGGGAGCAAAGCACATAAAAAAAAATAAAAAAATTCCATAAACTTTATATCCCCTGCCCCTTCTTACCTTTGGCCAGAAAGACAGGCAATGCAAGTTCTGGTGGTCTGGTGGGAAGTGAACTCTAGCCTGCAAGTCCTCTGGCTAGAATTCACTCTTGCAAGATCCGGCCTGTCAGTGCGTTGCCACGGTTACCAACCTTGCCAGTGCCTGGTGAGGGAGATCTTTGAACCCCCCACCAGCACTCATGGCATACCCTCATGGCACACAGCAGGGCTTGCGCTTGATCTCCCCTGTCGGCCTGTGCATTTGCCCGGTTTGCCAGTCCAGGCCTAGGTGGAAGGTTTCATGCAACATCAGTATCCACTTGGGCGGTTCTGTCACTGACAATTATCAGATCTCCTTTGATAACCGACACATAAAATGTGCAGTGTGGATGATTCATATGTTAAGAAGAATTCCATAGTGTCAGGAATACAAATCTGGATAACATTAAATGCACAAAATATCATGCCAATTAGCCATATGTGCCTCCAAAAATGCCTGCCAGTGCCACCTGTGCCCCCAATCCACCAGTGCCATCTCTGCCACTCTGCCATCTCCAGCACTTGTTTAGGCACGCAGAAGGCATCCCCTGCACTCATCCCAGGACTCAGATTGCATCCTCAGGACCTCCCTGGTGTTTAGTAGCAGGCAGCGCAGTGTCTGTGCACAGACATCCTGTCGGTCTGCTTCTGGGGCTCTCTGTACGTTTAGTGAAGTCAGAGGTCACGTGACACTCGGTGAGCGCGAGAGGCAGACATACTGTATGTAGACTGTGCACATACACAGTGTATAGGCGCCGCGCTGCTTCCACCCAGAAATGCCTGGATGACTGCAAGCCGCAAAATATACCAGCACTGCCGCCAGCACATTCCTAATGCCAGCACTGTCTGCATTACCCAGGGCCGGTGTGCGGATTCTTGCCACCCTAGCAAAGATCAATTTTGCTGACCCCTTTAATCATTTATTGCTTTGATAAACGATGAATTCCATGCATTTAGTGGGATTCATAATAATGGTGGGATTTTAGTTATTATAATGGTGGGATTTTAGTTATGTTATGTACACTGCAGGAAGTGTTAAGTTCTGTTCACGCACTGGGGTTATAGCGCACCCCACTCACTGAGTATATTATCGGTGGTGACAATGAGGACATGGCTGCACTGCTCAAAAAAGAGACATACAGACAAAAATTTTCATGATTTTTCTCTTTAACCCAAACCCAAATTGCAGAAAAAAAAATGAACTTTAATAAACCGCATAACATTATTCTTTAATTTAGTCTTCTCTACCAGTGTATCCATCATCCGGACATTGTCAGTGATTTGAGGACTGGTTGAGAACTTCTAGAGTGCATAATGTTCTACAGCTGGAATGAAAAGTAACCAATTTCCAGTAGGAAATTGCTCGATTGCCATTTGAGGAGACCATATTTCTCTGTCTCTCTCCCTTTAATCATCTGATACATTGTATGCACTTCGGAATCAGACTAATGTGTGGGATCCCATGAACGCAGAGTTTCTGTGCCAAAGTCACAGCGGGTGCATGGGTATCTGCTGTCTCTGCCCTTTGCCACGTATTGTGATCAGTTCCATCATACACTATATGGTCCGGTGTTGATAGAAAGAATTGGTTTGATTATTAATTGTCAGATATAGGTTTTATTAAAACGATGTGATAAACAGCAATGGCATATAAAATTGAGTCATCACTAAAAAAAAAAAAAAAAGTTCTTGGTCGCAATTTCTCTCAAACAGATTTTTTTATAGTTTGTTTATAGCTTGTTTATTACATAAATGAGAAAATAATGCTTTTGGACAGGGACAAATGTATTGATACATTTAATGATTCTGGGAGAATCATTACAAGTTAAGCTGTAACACTGATGTACAGGAAATATGGAAGGAACGCCCCCTGGTGGACATTTTCCACTGGACCTTCTAAGGATAGGTTAAAATCTGGCATTTTGGTTAATGAAAGCCAGCAGTATATAATAAAATACCTTTATTTCTTGATATGGATATAAAAGTCCAGACTGGGACACAACGAGGTATGATACCAAAAAACATTGACACAAACAAATCAATAAAGCATCAATTACATATGTTATTAGACAGAAATATCCATGAAAGTGGTGCGCAAAAGTGCTAACGAGAAACAGCCAGCATGACAGTATGGGGCACACCCTGATTTGAATAGGTACAACAAAATTGATGTCATGGGCCCACAGCCGGAGAAACGGAATTAAGATTTAACAAAGTGCAATAGTAAATTCCTAACCTTGGTGAAACCCTATTTCCTTTTTTTTAATCGTGCAAATAAGCACATGACATTTACCAATGCCACAACAGCGTATATGTAGGCATACATGGCAGACAATGGCATAGGAACTTGCACATTTTTGTTATATATTTAGGCTAAACAATGCTGGTATATCTCGTAATTGAGGCAAGATTTCAGCAATACAGGATTAGAAGACGGGGTTAGCACACACGGGTAGCCATCATTAGGAAATACAAACACTGTTTGTTGTACCTATGCCCCATACGTTCTGCCTCCTTTTATATTTAAAAAGGTAGGGTAGCTAATAAGTACACCATGTTAAAGGTAGAGTCCACATAAAACTATCATGTTAAACAAACTGGAATGATGTCGGCGTAGAAACCCCCTCCTGAGCTGCGCTCCGATGTGTAAGTGGTGGCATGCAAAGCGGGGGGGGGGGAGGATTTAGTATTAAATTAGCTGTGCTCTTGGCAAAGCAATGGACTGGCATAGTGAGAGGCCCAGCCAAGCCTATGTGTGTTGGGTGGTGGCGTAAGCGTTATAGGAGTGGGGGAGACTTGTGTTTCTGTCGCATAAGGCGTTGAGAGCTTGGTAGTGGTGAATGAACCAAAAAGAACTGCGGTCAGTTGTGTGAGAGTGAGAACATAAACATACTAAGGTAAACTTAAGATTATAATAACTGGTGGTAGAAGAGAGTAAGTCTCTGCGGTGTTGGGGACATGATTTTCGGTTCCAAGTCCTGTTCATGTGTTCAGGTCACTTTTCTGGAAGTTGATGGCGCCTGTGTGGATCGGGGGTGAATTCTTGTATCACTGCTGGATTCAGACGAGACAGGGTCGCTGTAGCTGATGCGGTCTGGGTGAGTAGGCCCACCTTGTGGAGGTTGTCTTCCAATTCCTGCAGTGTGCTTGTTCGTCGAGTTTCTCCGTGGGCAGTAAAGATCAGGGTTCTTGGTGGGCCCCAGCGACAGGGAATGTCCTTTGCTCACATGAGCTGGAGGAGAGGGTGCAAAGATTGACGCCAGGCCAGTGTGTTTCTGGTTAAGTCGGGGAACAGTTGTAGGGTAGCTCCCTCAAACCTCAACGGCTGACAGGAGTAAGGCTCGGTCATGTAGAGACTGAAATTGGATAATGATATCCGGCGTGGATGTCTGTGGCACGGTCGCCGGTTTAGGAATGCGGAATACACCATCTCATTTTACTGCCCTGGCCTGTTTAGGCGGTAGCTTGGCGGCCAGAAATCTTCTTATAAAGTGTGGTAAGTCTTCAATGGCTCAGGCACTCCTCGTATTTTGAGATTATATCTCCTCCGCTGGTCTTCCAGGGCATCAACCCTATCTGCGGTTGCTTTCTGCTGCCAGTGGAGTTCCTCCAATTGCTTCTCCATCCCGGAGAGCCTGGTGTCTTGTTTGCAGTGGGAGGCCTCCAGGTCGGCAATTTTTGCATGTGCGCTGTCAACCGCTTTCTGGAAGTGGGCCATATTGCCAGCTATGTTGGTTCGGAGCTCAGCCAGCATCTTCTTAAGTAGCGATGTAGTGACAGGGTATCTATCCTCCATCGGAGGTAGCCGGGGTCCTGTCTGTAGGCTTGGAGTGCTCCCCTCTCCCATGTACAGAAGATTTTCAGTTGAGCACGAGGAGTCCCCATCGAGGTGTGCCATGTTGTCCCATGTGGCCCTCTGGGAGTTACGGAACAAATCGCCGATGTACCGGGCTGGCAGGCCCTTGTCCGATCTGGGGTTTTTTTTGACAGTTTTGCCAGGGTATCTCTCGCAGAGCTCAAGGAAGATGTAGCCATTCAGGTCGACAGCTAAGCTTCGCCCCCGTGAAACCCTATTTCAATGTATTTGACAACAAATGAGTTTCTTCTGAGGAAATACTGAGCAGCAGCGTAAAGCATGAACTTGTATTGTGTCGTCTCCCCACACAAAGAACAATCCACATACCTTTATTTCTTCAACCCCTTAAGGACCGAACTTCTGGAATAAAAGGGCATGTGTCCTTAAGGGGTTAATTAAATAGCAATAATGGGAAATTGACAGAGACATTCTAGGAGCCTATCAAAAAATGTACATCTCTTATTGCATGCGAATAGCAACTCAAATCCAATTTTACAATAGTAAGGTATGTGTATTGTATTATTCTTCTTGTACATATCAGTTAAATGTACACAGTACCAATTTGGGTTTGCTGTTCACAAAAAGTATCTGTTGGTGTAAAGAATGCCTTGATCACAAAAAAAAAAAAAGAGGTCTCAGAAGACCCATGATCAAGAATTGGTGAGTTGCATAAAGCCGGGGAAGGGTTGCAAGTTTTCTCAGAGAGCTTAGATATTCATCTGAGAACCCAAAACAAAAAAAGTGTTAAAGCTCACACAATGATTCAAAATTATTTACCATTTTAAAATTATTAAGAAGGGTCTTGTAACATATATTCAAATAAGAAGTTCCTACATAAAATAGATTTAAAAAAAAACAGAAAAACCATAGTGCAATCTGTATAAACATTTAAATAACAAAAGATAGTTGCAATTGGCACACTTACAATTTCAAGAGCCCTTAAAGAATGGCTCTAAATTGGATAGGCACTTCATCCACCATTGGGATTGTGGTAAAATCTTTTGCTGGAACAAAGAGGTATCCAGAAGCAACAGGAATCAGATGATCAATGATCAGATGATTATGTTACAAGAACTTTCTTATAAATTCTAAATCATTTGTAATCATTGTGTGCGCTTTAACACTTTTTGTTTTGGGTTCTCTACTATTTAAGTGTATAAGGTGACATTGCACTTGAAGTTGTTTTAGGCTGCACTGGGTTATTATTAAACAAGCGCCACATATCCCCATTAAGAGTTTTGTATTAGATATTCATCTGTTCACGGTTAGTCAATATGTCTATAAATGGAGACAATTTAATACTGTGGCTTCTCATCCTAGAAGTGGCCATCCAGCCAAGATAACTCAAAGGGAAAAAACGCAGAATTCTCAATAAGGTTAAAAAGAACCCTTGTGACAGCTAAAAGACTTAAAGAAATCATTGGAGCGGATTAACATCTAGGCTCCTGAAACTATTATAAAATATTTTGTGTCAAGCACTATGGTTTTCGGTGGATTGCCCTTTGAATATATCTTGTGCCAATGTGATTAGCCGGATTGTTCCAGCCAATGGTAGAACTCTTCTGCAGCAACACATTGGCAATCCTTCAACACGGACTGATATATCTCACCCATTCACATAATTTAAAAGCCCTATGAGGCCATAGCAGAAGAGCAGTATGATTGGCTGAATACATTTATTTATAAGTAGTTTGAAAGACTATCCCAAAAGGTATTTGGGGCTCTTTTAAAATCCAAATATGGACTAACTCAATTAACTCTAAGCAGAAAAAAAAAAATACATTTTTACAAACCCCAAAATACAACATATCCCCTGATAGACCCGATCTGGGTGAACAACATATCCAAAAATCACCCAGATGGGCTCAAGGGTTCGGGAATTTGCTAGAAGTCTTATTTTTGCCCCACGGTGCACATGGTCCCGTGCCCAAAACAGTTCCATACACTTGACGACAAAACACTGCTGGACAATTTAAGATGGCCACCGACACATGTTTGAATCTGTTCCAGTTAAAAGTCCAAGGGGCAGAAACAGTGCCTTTAAAATCCAATATGCCCAAAAAGTGTTTTTAAAGGGCAATATATCCCAGGGGCCATAGTCACAGGAAAAGAGGCTGGCAAGCAGGCCTCTCCAAATCCCAGTGACAAAGGTGCTTTCGTCACAACCTCAAATTTCAAATTCACCCTTTAGTGAATAATCCTGTAAGAGAAAGATAAGAGAGTAGTTGCAGAGTCTAAGCAAGCATGACACCAAATAAGCTAGAAGTCTGCAGTCTCAGTGTTTGTCCACCATGAAGGGGGGAAATGAAGTCTGTTTTAGGAAAAACCACAGACATGGGCTAGGAATCAAAGTTGGTATTTCAGCTCAACAAGCAAGGTTGATGACATGAGCCAAGAGCTAAAAAAACAAAACAAAAAAAACCACAAGGGTTAAACAGAACATGGGTACTTGCTGTTGCAGAGGCAACCTAATGTGTTGATAACTTTAAATGTCTTCAGAACCCCAGACTCTACTACAGAGCTACACTCAAGCTGTGAGAGGTAGGCAATGTTTCCATATACACATCACCTTAAACTTGCAGACACGTGGTTCCATGTTTCATCAATATCTCCATTAAATTGGATAAAAAACAAATTCTATTGTTGGGCCATGAGGACTGGTTTGGGAACCAGTGATGTATGCTGTGGTATTTATGGTGTATTTGTAACTTTACAGTATTTCATAAATATATACATTTTATGAAATACTGATTAAGACTGCATTGGGATTTCAATGCAATCCAGAGATACTATAAGACAAGTAAGAGACTACATTGTCTTATGGCAAAACCTAATGTTGACAAAAGGTGGAGCAGTGCTGTTAACTTTTGTCCAATGCCAATAGCCATCACAAATGACGGCTGAGGGATTCAGGCTCCGTCTATGGAGGATCCCGTGGTCTTCTCCATGGACTTTAACCCCTTAAGGACTGGACTGTTTTTGCGATGTTGTACATTTGCGACCAGGCATATTTTTACAATTTTGTGGTGTTTGTGTTTGGCTGTAATTTTCCGCTTTCTCATTTACTGTTCCCATACAAATTATATATTGTTTTTTTCAGGACAAAAGGGGCTTTCTTTACATACCATTATTTATATAATCTCATGTATTTTAATTTAAAAAAAAAAAAAATCTGATGAAAAATTGAAAAATATACATGTTTTTTGACTTTTACTTGAAAAATCTTTTACTCATCTACAAAAGCGAATGAAAAAAACTGCTAAATAGATTCAAAATTTTGTCCTGAGTTTAAAAATACCTAGTGTTTACGTGCTTTTTTGCTTTTTTTTGCATGTTATAGGGCTATAGGTACAAGTAGGATATTGCGGTTTCAAAACATACATTTTTAAAATTTATCAATAGTGACATTGTAACACTATTATCTGTCATAAATCTCTGAATAACACCCCACATGTACATATTTTTTTTAAAGTAGACAACCCAGGGTATTCAATATGGGGTATGTCCAGTCTTTTTTAGTAGCCACTTAGTCGAAAACACTGGCCAAAGTAAGCATTCATATTTGTTTGTGTGTGAAAAAAGTAAAAAAACTAAATTGAACGCTAATTTTGGCCAGTGTTTGTGACCAAGTGGTTACTAAAAAAGACTGGAC